GCTGGACCCCCTTCCTGTGAGAGAGACGACCCCTCTCTTAATGTTGTTGTGCCTACCAGACGATGTCGCGCTCGGGCCGCACGGCGACGACGACGCGGTCGTCGAGCACGCCCGCCTCGATGAGGAAGACGTCCTCCGCGTGCTCGCCGTGGGGGTTGTCGACGCCGCGCTGCGCCTGGCGCGTCGTCGGGTAGACGTCGTCGACGACGCGGACGGCGGAATCGCCGGGGACGCTCGACACCTCCTCGTCCCAGACGAACGTCGTGCCGCCGTCCTCGAAGACGCAGAGCGGGTGGATCTCGCCTGCGGTAGACGTGTTTTTGCGAGCCATCGCGCGCGCGGGAGACGCCGCATCGCGCCGCTGTTCAACACGACGCCGACGCCGAGCGCGTCGCCGTCGCCCGTTTCGTACTCGACAATGTCGTTCTCCGCCGGCTCCCACCAGAGCCCGTCGCTCTCTTCGTCGTCCGCCGCCGACGCGCGCGGCCGATGTCTCTCGTGGGAGGTGCTCTGGTGCGTCGGCGCGATGCAGCTGCGCTGCTGGTTTGGTGCGAAGGAGCGCGCGCGCTGCCGGTTTGGCGCGAAGGAGCTCGCACAGCACGCGAGGAGCACCACGAGCACACGCATTGCTTGCGCAGTTTTGGCCGACCTTGAAGGCTCATTGCAGCCCATAAGTCGCCTATCGATGGCAGCCTCTAATGCGGCCTTTGTCGCCGCGCAGCCCGCGCTCGTCGTCGCCGAGGCGCGGAAGCGCGAGGCCCAGGAATACTTCAAGAGGGAGCAGTGGGAGGCGGCCGTCGCCGCCTTCGGCGAGGCCCTCGCCACCGTCGCCGGCGCCGGCGATTCGGAGAAGGCCGCGCAGCTGCGGCTCGCCATCGCGCTGAACCTGGCCCTCGCGGCGCTGCGGAGCGGCGACGCGGCCAAGGCCGCGTCGGCCTGCGAGGACGCCCTCGCGCTCGACGGGGGCAATCTGAAGGCGCTCTACCGCCGCGGCGTCGCGCGGGGCCAGCTCGAGGATTGGGCGGGCGCGGCCGCGGACCTCGAGGCCGTCGCGGCGCGCGCCGGCGAGGGGGGCGTCGCCGCGGCGGCGCGCCAGGCCCTCGCGGCCCTCCGGGACCAGCAGGCGGCGGCGCAGCGCGGCGAGCGAGACGCGGAGGAGGCGGAGGAGGCCGCGCCGCCGAAAGAAGCCAAGCCGCCGCCCAAGTACCTCACGGCGCCGCCGCCGCCGCGGCCGGCGCCCAAGGTCGAGGCGCCGCCGCCGCCGACGCTCTCCGGCGGCTTCCTCAAGCGCGCGCGCGAGGCCGCGGAGAAGCGAAAAGCGGCCAAGAAACTGGAAGCCCAGGGACCAAAGAACAGCGAGCCCTGGAAGCAGGGCGCCAAGGCCGCCCTGGCCGCGCGCGCGAGCGCCGTCGCCGCGGCCAACGACG